CAATCCAAGACCTGCTACGCTAGAGCACAAAACCCTAGAGGCAAGCCTGCAATTTCTCTGGAACTGCTTTATGACATGTCAGTTTGGAATGAAGTCTTGTATCAGCTCTCTGGGATTTCAGGACTTTGCAGTAGGATTTTGCAGATCAGGCTAAATGCAAAATTTTGGTTGATGTCATTTATACTCCCAGAACTTTTTCCAAAGAACTATACAAGTCCATGAGGCTCAGCATAGGTCAAGTCCTGCTATGTCTATCCTGTCTTTCAAACCCTGGTCTCTGTCATCACTGAAGCCCAAATTCACTCTGCTGTCCCAGCATGTACAGATATGTGCAGACCCTCAGGATGACTCAGGAAGAGCTTTGGTTATTAATTGCTCCTTAGTTTGAGTGCATCCCATGCTGTCACAGTCACTGTGCCTGCTCTTGCACACTGCTACATGATCAGTCTGTTTTAGGTGGGACTCTGCTGCTTATCAAGGAATTTTTCTGCAGGATTACAGGCAGCCTGAGGTTGCCATAGTCCAAGTACTAAGTTAAAGGTTTCCTACATGAAGGGACATAATTTTATCATGACAAGATTTATGCAGTGCTTTAGATTACATCTTGTTTCTGATTTAAAGACAGGGTTGAGAAAGACTTACAGATGGATGTGGACATCCAGCTACAAAAAGTCAATTCACAAATGAAAACTGACTAGGGAGGTTATGCCACTGCTCCTGCCCAGCAAGGTTGTGAACCACACTGCAGTGAAATGCAACTAACTGACCTCCTGCCCTCTTTCCTTCCCCATGTCCTGTGCATGTGCTTCCGGGGGACAGAAAGACTGCATACAACTAAAGGTTATATCTATGACTTCAAGTTAAATTGAATAAAGCCCATTATTAGACAGAAATTTTTGAAAGATCCACATGTGTCTGTTAGCTGGAGGAAAGAGACATGATCACTGAACAAAGGAGAAGACAAATTAAAGAATTGAGGGTGCCAGAACTCACACAGGTAGGTAACATTTACAGGAAAGCCATTTCCCTTGTGGTTTATTGCTCAAGATAATTATGGTAAGAACTTATCAATATTTGCACCTTTTTCCCACAGAGTGTTCCAATTAAGCTGTTGTAAATATGAAGTCATTAAAAACAAATCAATTTCAGACACTGAGAGAAGATGGTAAATCCACAAGTTGAGAGGTGTTGAGTTTGATTGCTTAATTATTAGTGGCTTAGATATGCTAGTTGTCATCACAGTGTTTGTGCTGAATCAGAACATCTAATCCCTTCCTCAGGCCTTTCCTTCCCTAAAGCAGTGGGACGTGAGGTAGATCTTGCTGAGAAACAACTTCACGCACCTTGGTCCAATCAAACGAGGGAAGAACTGGCTGACACACTGCTAAGGGGCCCTGGCAGGACCTCTGTGCTCAGGCAGGGATGACTGCAGGTTTTTACCATCACAGGCTGCAAAAGTGACATGTAGTCCTGTATCACAGGCGCTAAGATACTCCTTTGAAGAGAGCCCCCTCAGGGGTAAAATCTATGGAAATGGAGATGATGTGGAAATGTGCCTCCCTCTACAGTCAAGGCCCCAGCCAAGAATAATGGCATGTAACAACTATGAGGGGACTTCAAATTGTGTTGCTCAAAAGCCATCTCACATCTAAAGGGAGTGTGGCATCCAAAGCTGAGACATGAAGGATGAAGGTTCATTTTGTGGAAAAATACCAGGAAGATTCTGAATCAGACTGTGCCTCATTGGACTTAGCCTCAGAAATTGCAATGCAAAAAAACATTTTACTCTGCAGAAACATTTGCCTTGTTTGAATTTTATTTTCTGTTTGCCAAATTGAATAACCAGATAACAGAACGAAACCAATCATGTGTTCTGCAGACCATAAGAAAACAGGTCTCTCCAGTTTGGTAGGACTTTAAGTGCAATATTACATAATTCACAGCTGACCCAAACAAAACACTTCTCAGAAATTTTTGGCCATTCTTTTTGCTTGGCTGGTAGATGACAGCCAGCAGCAAATTACCCACATTGCCACTTGCTCACTCCCCATGCAAACTGGGATGGGTGAGAGATTAGGCACTGCAGAATAAAGAAACTCATGGAGAGAGATGCAGACAGCTCAATAAGAGCAAGGAAAGGTATGGAAAGGGTGGGGTGAGGGGGTGAGGGGATGGGAAATGATGCACGGACTCACTACCTGCTGCAAATAGGTTGATGTCCAGTCAGTCTCCAGGCTTGACTGCCTTGAAAGACAACCTACACTCCACCTTATTCTATTAGACCAGTTTTATTGCTGAGCATGACATTATATCATATGTAATTTCCCTCTGGAGAATTCAGGTTAACTGTCCTGGATGTCCTCCTTCCCAGCTTCCTTCCCACCCAGCCTCTTCCATGCACTGTGAGAGGAGTGTGAACAGAGAAAGTCCTGACATTGTGCAAACACTGTTCACAAATACCCAAGGCACAGGTGTGTTATCAACAACTAGTTAAGTCACAAATCCAAATGCAGCACCATACAGACTGCTATGAACAAATTTATTCTGTCCCAGACAGGCCCATACCGTTCACAAAGATGTTTGAGCAGCCCTTGACTTGCATTAACTCTGTTGTCTGCATTCAAATTGGGCAGAATCCAGCTGAGCCTTCTGTCCAAGTCAAATGACGAAGAAACAGTGATCATTCACCACTGAATCATTCAGTTCTCCTCCACTTTTTCATCCCACTCATGTCGAAATGACAATATATGTATCTTTGTCTAGACTTCAAAAGCTCTGGTGCCCATCAATGAGTTCCACATAAGACATAGTTTCATGCAGAATCCTTGTTCACAGCAAGGTTACTCTCCTCAGAAAATGTGACTGTGAAAATTTCAGAGGCAATACTGTTAGTCTTCTAAACAGAATTTTACATGATGGAACACTTTTATTTTCACCGTGTGGCTACAGCAACTTCTACTACTAAATGTCTCTAACAGCATTTCTTCTGACCTCCTGGAACTTTCTCTGCACGGGCCATACTCTCTGACATGGGCACAGGTTCTCTGCTTAATACAAATTATATGACTATGACGTTTGGACAGGAAATTATTTTTCCTGACCCACAATGCTTTTTATCATTCAAGATCAAGTCAAAACAGTAAAGCCTGCAGAATTCACACAGTTAAAAATCAGCATCTGTTTCTTTTTGATATTGATCTTATTAGAAGTAGATTGAT